CTCCCACCCAGCCCCGGCTGTGAAGTGCCTGCCCCAGCCCCACTCCCTCCCTCACCGTGGGGGGCATTGATCTGCCCCCCACCCCACACCTCTTCCCTTCCCCCCCTTCCACTACAATGGACTTAGCAGCTGCACACAGCTCTCCAAACTGCCAGGCTGTGCTCCTCGCTGCCTGCATGCTGTGTTGTGGCTGCGCGCACACATGAGCATTTATCAGCCAAATTATCAGCCACATAGAGCCAATTTCCGATGCAGCCAATTTTCTTTATATCTGTGCTGTTCCGATATTGGACTGATGTATCAGTGCACCTCTATTACTCTGCATACATGCATTTGATTATTCATTCCTAAATGCAGTACTTTACACTTGCTTATACAGAATTCTACCCTATTTGAGGCTAATTCTTCAATTTATCAAGGTCATTTTGAATCTTAACCACAATACTCCACCTAGCTGGGTACAATTTGCAAGAAGAATGCTCCAATAGGAAATAACCTGAACCAAAAAGATCCAAAACAAGGGGAGACCAGCAGGTTTATCTCTTTTCCTTAAAAAAAACCCCAGAAAGGGCTGTAAAATATACTCACGACTGTATCCAAAGAGAGCCCCTACAGCCAAGAGCAGACTGACTGCTAGCACTGGGGCTCTCTTCTGTAGCATGTCAGAAATCAAGCCTTGGATGGTCCCACCTATAAATATAACATGAAAAATCATCATGCCTTGTAAATTAAGACATGGAATACAATTCAGTGAATGCACAGGAGGGTATATTATTTTCTCTCATTTTATCTTCACATCTACATCTCTGAAGTCCCACTGCCTTTGAAAGGCAAAGATGCCTGGAAGATTGTACCAAACCAAGGTAACTCACGATGTAGTAGGGAATAAATATACACGTTTCCGCCTACTGTATTAAGAAGCTACACTTTCTCTGCATATGGCTAGTCAGTACTTCTGTTGTGTGTTCCCCTCCCAGTACACTCTACTCTTATAATTGTTATTCTAGGCCTGCACAGCATAACACCCTACAGCAGTTTCCTAAACTTTCCTGTTGTTCCTTTTAAAGGTTCTGCCTGATGGATGGGAGTGCTAGCACAAAAGAATTCAAGGCCCTCCCTTTTTTTAAGTACCCAGCTGTTTAACCCCACTCTGAGTAGACCTAGAGAACACATGGTTAAAAGGCTGGTGGCTGCTAGCACATTGCTTATATCAGCATACCCTTCACTGCCATCACTAGGGACACTACACTGCTGGTCACAAACTAGAAAACGCTCTTAGTGTAGACAAGTCTACAAAAACAACCAAAGAGTCTATTGGGAGAGAAGGGAGAACAAGAGGAACCAGTTGTCTATCCAAGAACTAGTGACAATAGAGTTCTGGATGTAAAGACAAGCTTTCTCCATTGTGATGTGGATGCAGAGCTGCAGATTTTATCAGGGGCCTCAACAAGAACTGTATTTGACTCCACTCAAGAGTTGTGGCCAACACTCACTAGTAGGGGACTGAGCACTAAGTAAAGTATACCATGAATCTGAGCCTACCCTCTCCCTCAAGGATTCTTGAGAGAAACAATATAAAAAATAATGTTTTTCAGGTTTCCAAGCTTGGCAACTGAGCTCAAAACAAGTCAAGAAAAGTCTATTGTTGGTGCAGCATAAACTGAAAAGGTCATGCCTCTATGGTTAGTGGGCACTGCTAGAGACTTCCCAGTGTTCTGCTTTTCAATATAAATTGGCTAGGCTAATTTAAATAAACAGTGTAGTACCTACAGTTCCTCTATATTGCATTTGTTGTGCAAAGATCAGACACCAGCTGATCAGCCACAGAAAGAAGTTGTTGCTTGCTGCACGCACCTATAATTCCTCCCACATCGTACCAAATCGAGAGTTGGTCAGCTTCAGCCTCTTTCCATCCAAAGTTGTTGCTGAGGTAGAAGGGCAGCCAGAAGAAGAAGGAGTAATTTACTAGTTTCAAGCAGGCATAGGCCAAAGAATACTGAAACAAAAAAAAGCCAACAACCAGCAGTTACCATTAGAAATGCACAAGCAGCAATTGTGCTTCCATCCCTGAAGCTCTGGGCACAAGTAAAGCTTTCATGTGAAGCTTTTCTGCATTTCATGTAAGAATGCAACAGCAGGAAAGCCTGTTGGTAAACACCCAAGACAACCAGGGGATGGAGTGGGTGGGATAAGAAAAGTCAACCAACAAGAGAGCTATTTTTACTGTACTTTTCACTGCACACAATCACTTGAAATGTTTGAAGTGAAATCAGCTTCTGAACCAAAGGGCAGAGGAACAAACAAGTTATTGCTTGGTAAATGAGGGTGGGGATTTCCAGAGCATCAGTTTCTCCATGGTAACCACCCATGCGCATGCTCTTTGCCCCCAGCATATGAAAGTTAAGCCACCATAGCTTACCTAGAGGGGTAAGCTTTCATCTACCAGATGGGTACGCGCCTAGGCAGTTACCATGGAGCAGCTGTTGCACTCTAAATCCCTACTCTCATGGTAACTTGTCCAGGCTAATGCCAGAAGATAAATCAGTTCATCTCCTGGAGGGAAGGAAGCTAATCATGTGACATAAAGGAAACCAAGGCTCAATTTGTGCACCCTGGGGAGGGCTATACGAAATGCCAGAGTTTCTCTGTGTTACGTTCTACTACTAAAGCTGCGCCTACCCACTCAAAGCACCCTCTTCGCTCATAGCACCTGAATCAGAAAGTCGAAATGTTTTATCTTGAGCAAGCTTGAGGGGTTGGTTCCTAGGAGTGAACTCCTCTTAGATAACAGGAGGGCTTTCAAAGTTCTCAGCTGTGGAAATTACTCCCCTCTACAACCCAACAACTCAGGGTTTGGAGCTTTCAAAGCAAGTGTAAGGCACATGTTTTACAAGGACTTTGCTAATAAGCAATGGGGCAGTACAAGGAAACTATGTTCATTAACTCTCCCACAGAAGGAATTATAGAGAGCATAGCCTTTAGTTACCAGGGATCATAGCTGGTATATTCATAATCACCTGCTTGTTTTAATGATAAGGTAAGTAGATGGAACAAGAGTGAGCAAAGAACATGGTATTCAACACCTCTCCCCTTGCAAATGCAAAGATGATTTACATGGATACCCTATTTGTAAACAAAACTGTGGTTGCTTCTTTCCCCTTTAAGGCGCCAGTTTTACAAGGCCCAAACCTAGGCCCATTTCATGCACAAGATCCCCACTGAAGTTAGCAAGAGTTCTGCAAGCCAAGCATGCACAGGATCAGGCCATTGTGAACAACACTTCAGAACGCTCAGTCAAGCAACAAGCCTGACCCAATCTTCAGAAACCTGCACATAAAGCTGTTTAACAACTGCATGCTGTTCAGTTGAAAGAGGAAAGAAACTGAGGAAAGGCAAAATAAACAGAAATCTGGTTGATTTGCTTCATAAATTTATCTGGATTTTGTATTCAGAGTTTCTCATTTGATTTTTGGCACAAAGCTAAAACTTCTAAGCATTATTAGTTTGGTTTGTTGATGCGTTCCCCTACCCTACTGGTGAATGCTATTTCTGCTATTATTATTTTATGCGACTCACACGAGGAGGTTTCTAATCCTTCCTTGGAATCTACTCCACTGTCAGAACCATTTTTTTACTTCCCAATATTCTGCCTGCATTTAATTCATTTCATTCTCATGGATTCACAGAAGCTTAGGGCTGGAAGGGACTTCATGAGGTCATCAGGTCCAGCCCCTCTGTTGGGCAGGAAAGACTGCTGGGGTCAAATAATCCCAGCAAGGTGTGCGTCCAGGCTCCTTTTGAAGATCTTCAGGGTAGGTGCCTGAACCACCCCCACCAGGAGTCTATTCCAGAGTCTGGTCACACGAACCGTGAAGAAGTTTTTCCTTATATCCAGTCTGAAACCTCCTTCTAGAAGTTAATGACCATTGCTCCTGGTTTTCCCCTGGGCTGCTGTGGTGAATAGTTGTTTGCTTAGCCCCTGATGCTCTCCCCTGATATATTTGTAAGCTGCCACCAAATTCCCCCGAAGTCTTCTCTTTTCTAGGCTGAACAGTCCCATATCGGTCAGCCTTTCCTCGTATGGCTTGCTCTTCAGGCCTCTAATCATACAAAGCCAACATATTTAATAACTTCTTTGCCTCTGTCTTCCTCAGTAAGGACCAGAACTGCCACCTCCCTGCTGGGCCCCCTTTGGGCCCCAGGGGAGGCTCACCTGGGCCTAGAGTGAGTGAGGATTTAGTTAGGGAGCTTCTGGAGGAGCTGGACATTT